TCAGTTGGACTGATGACGTCAAAAATTTCAACAAATTTAAAATCCAGCAAACACACCCTTGCGCAATTACATTAGTCCCTACAGGTTTGAAATCCAGCAAAAACACCCATGCAAAATCTGTTAGTAAACGATCCAGTCACGGAGCGGAAAACAAAAATATTTACGACATGTCTCATTCTATAGGACCAAAATCAGGGCACAAATTTACACTTTATATATAAAATAAGAATCTGCAGGAAATCAATTTAGAGTTTAAGAAATCATACGCACGTTGGGAGGCTCCTCCAACTTGTCTTTGAGCATATTTCGCTACCGACCTAAGTGTAAGATCGAACCGGTGTAGTCCACACTAAGATAATCTCAAGGAACTAAAGAGAGATTTGCTAGATCCTGTTTAGCCTTTAAGAACCAAGAAGAAAAATCAAAGTAATTTGATTCAAGCAAAAAAATGCAATCTGGCGTGGAGAGTGTTTCAAGGGGTTGGAGTGTTTTCCCTTTTTTCAATGAATCAAATGAGTGAATGAATATTTCTCCATTTTATTCAAAAAAAAAAAAAAAAAAAAAAAAAAAAAAAAAAAAAAAAAAAAAAAAAAAAACTTACACTTATATAGTGCAAGTGCAATTGCCCTATTCCCTTATGGAATATGCTTAAGCTCCAACCCAAACACCCATTGGATCCAAACATTTCCATTTAGATATTTTAATTTTAATTTATCATTATCTCAATTAAATTCAATTAATATATATTAATATTTAACAATAATGATAATTTATTTAAATGTATGCGAACACATATTTAAACGTAATCTCACTTATTTAATTTTAATATCAAATTAAATAAAGGCTACAACCTTAGTAAATTTAATTGTACTGTGAAATTACTAAAATACCATTTCGTCTAAAAAGACGAAAAAACACCCTTCTTATAAACTGGTTCTTAAATTATCTTCTATGTATGTGAGCCATAAGCTCCTCATCATACCGGTAATGTATAGTATCGCGATTAACACCAATTAGTCGTCTCACTACACACAGACCAAGATTGACCCCTAGCTAGACATCATGACCACCTGATAGATTCGAATTCAGCGAAGTAGCTATTTGCCAACGATATGGTTACCATACAATTTGATCATTTGATCATTCGTTATCTCGATGAGACCTAGGCATAGAAATAGTGTCAACCTTCGGTTACTCTCGATATTATGTATTCAGTTACTGGACCAATGACCTGTACAATAAACTGGATAGAGCAACAACTCAATCCCACTGTGGCCACAGTTTTAGTGTCATTGCCATTTACTGAATTGCGCAGTGAGATAACTTCTCCGTACCCGGGAGTGATGAATCCTCTGTCTATCCACCATAGTCTTGATATACTCCTTGATGTAGCCAATCACCACCGTATTGACAGCTCTGAATAGAACTACATTAGGCTAGTGTCAAACTACACAAATCGGTGCACAAGGTGCTCCGGTGATCTCAAGTCTAAGGATCACATGCACCTAGAGGATTTGTTCTATAGACACTAGGGTTACCATCCATATGGAATCCTCTAGTGGGTCAGTCTAGTGAACTTGCCTACAGCAAGCATCCATGTGTTGCACTAGGTGTCACCAAACAACCTCGACAAGTGAGATCAGTCATTGTCTTTCGACAGTGTCGTTCAACACTATTGTAGCTTTNAAACTTGCATGGAAAACTTCAAATAAAAATGTTTGAGTAATAATGTAGAGAAACAAACCCTAGAACATGGCGCCCACCATCATGAACAGCTTGAGAAACAAGACCCATCAAGCCCACGCTCCCTCCTCCATATACCAGATCAATCTTTCTCTCCACCTTCATTGAAAACCAAACCATCAACACACGTTTCACAAATCCCAATTATAATAAACCATTTATTTAACATTTTTTACATTGAACCCATAAATAAAAATCATGAAGGTTTGGTGATGGATGTTTATGGAAGCGAGCAATGCAAGAACACGCTCAAAAGAGTCATGATATCTAGATAGCACGTTTGCTTCTACTCCAGAGAAAAGCAAGAAAGAGAGAGATAAAGAAATGTTTTTCATATTATTTTTGGTTTTTGTTTTCTTTGTTTTTAAAATAAAATCACAAACTAAAGATCATGCAAAAAGGCTGCTCAACTGACAGCCAGGTTACAGCTAGCTTCATTCATTTCTTCATTCATTCATTCTTGCCAAACATAAACCCTAAACCTTCTCTTCTCTAGCTACCATTTTGTCCATTAACAATCATAACCCCACGTTCAGAAAACCTTTAATTCTTTCATTTTAATAAACACAACCAAAAACCAAACCAACCCACTTGAGAATAACAACATTCAATGCACTTAATCAATTCATTTCACGTCATGAACAGAAAATTCTTCCTCAACTATGAGCAAGATACATTGAAAAAGATTTCCAGGGAAATGCATGAAAGAAACTAAGTAAATGGGATTCAAATCGAAGCTTTAACAAATGAAAAAATTTCATGAAAACGTTTTGTAAAAATAATATGAACAAATTAAGACTTGCTGAGTTATTACCAGTTCTTTGCCCAAGGCAACGGCGGCTTCTTGGTAGCTAGTTTTGTTTCCAGAACTGCTACCACAGAAAACACAGATTCTTCGGAATCTAGACTTTGTCACTTCCATATCTCTCTTTTGGCTTTGCTTTTGCATCTTTTGGCTTTGTTTTTGCATCTCTTTCTCGGAAAAAAAAAAAAATGATCTCCTCGAAGAAGGGAAGAGGGTTGAGAATGAGAACAAAGTGAGTCTTTGTTTTTATAATAATAACAATTATTATTATATATTTATATTCACTACTTCTCTCTCAAACTCAACAGCACCTTTGCCAAGCTATCTGATCTATATAATGGAAAGCCTGTAAGTTTTTCATCAATATTTAAGAAATTTTATAATTAACTTGACAAAAACAATGCATTCCAGGTAAAATTTGTAAAACATTTTACACTTTTTCCAGAACATTCATTAATTAAACAAGACATGCTCACAAATAACTAAATACTGACATGGTCGACTTACATGCTAAGAATCAGAATGGATTAAAATGGAATAAAAGAAGTAATTTACATAAAAATAATGATATAGTTTCAATTCTTTCGTACAATCAAGCACAATAAAGGACAAGTTTACACACCCAAAATCTAAATCGAAGAGATTGGTTTCAAAGATTCTAAAAATTTTACCTCTCTAGGCATCAGAGTTCTGGGAAACTCTGCAAAGCAAACAACATGAAAATAAATAATAGCACCATTATTTGATCAGGTTTTGATTAAATGGGACAATCAACACAGAAGAAATCAATGATTTAGGTCCCAAGGGGCAAAATGTCACTTTATAAAACAGGATTTTGTGTTGCTTTTCGGGACTAAAAGAAAAAGGAGGCGCTCAAAAAAGTTCACAAACTTTATATCAAACTTAGCTTTCAATGTCTTATCCTTATAACAGGAAAATCCCAGGGGACTGACAATTTCAAGGACTAAGTAAAAACTTTACAAACTGAACAAAACTCTACACAAATTAAGAAGACTCAATCTTTTTTTTTTTTTTTCCTTAAAGAGGCATTATTTCTAAGAACCCACTTAATAGAAAATAGAAGAAGCCACAAAAACCCTGGGAAAAATCAGAAGGAAAATTGTTATTCATGATAGGGAAAATTCCATTAAACTCACCAACATATGGTCATATGTAATTAGAATATAATACTATGCAAGATTTACACTAATTAGAGTGATCCGATTGACCTTGATGAAATCGGAAAGGGTGTGTGTGTGATTAATGATAACCAGCAAAGTATGAATATAAAGTGCACTAATGTAAATGACATAAAATGTTTTTAAAGTGGTTCGGCAATGTATGATCTTGAGCCTATGTCCACTGTTTTTCTTATTTTGCTTTGAGAGCTTACAAGAGAGTAGTACAATTCCTAGAAATATTTGCTAACCTTTTTCCATCGTTGAAAGAGGTTTATATACAAGTTTGGTACAAAGGAAAGAGCGAAATTAAAGGAATTACAATCAAGACTGGAATGCAACTCCGACATTCTCGCGATTGAGCGTTGAGATTGCGCTATTATTGCTGTCGATCTGATCCCTTTTGAAATATCCGGGATCTGAGTTTATCTGTAATTTGCTTGAATAATTGTCGAGATTGGTCACGACTAGCTTATGCTAGGTCAAGCTATGTCTCGATGAGTTTATGTTGGGTTGGATAATTGTTTGAGCGAAACTGATTCCGAATCGAACTATAACTTTACAAAACTCTGACTTCTCCGAGCTTAATGAAAAAATCACACGCAACACCAAAGAATGTTACAACCCAAATTAAGGGCCCAGTAAAAGTAAATCATGCAAGTTCTGATTAACATTTCAACAAATTTATAAAATATTTTTTCTAATCCTTTGATAAAAAAAATTACCGACGGTAAATGAAGATATATATAGAGGGGGTAACGTTTACCCTTCCCTATAAATTCACTATTTAATCTTAAAAGGGAAGTTTACGAAATAAATGGTACACATGTCTCTCATTTATTGCTATGATTAAATCTATTAATTCAATATTATAACTCTACTATAAACTATCAAAATATTATAATCTAATCCTTAAATCTGTGTAATTATCTGAATTAATTCACACCATGCTATAATTAAATCTACCATTCAGTATTATAACTCTACTATATACTATCCCAATACTATAATCGAACCCCTCAATGTATGTAATTATATGTACAATTGAGAAGCATTGAGAATATCATAAAGAAAAGTTAAAATCATTTGCTTGGGAAATAGTGATCATGTTTCCTGTTTAGCTAAATAAAAAAATAATTAAACAAATAGATTGAGTACTAATGATAATTCATTTTCTTCAAGAGTTCACAAAAAGAGCTGGTGTGACACTTCTTTTGTCTTTTTTTTTTTCACAATTTTGTATAGTATTTGAGACTATGTGTGCTGCCTCAATTCCAAAATGAACTAGAAGTTACTGTGCTCAACATCTACGGTATAAGGACCGTATATACCTATATACTAAATACGCAAAAAGAAAGGGGTGTCATTTCTATGTTTCGATCAAACGAGGTACGACGTGGCAACACCGGATTCAGGAACATAAGCAAGCCTTTCCTCCCACACCAACTTTGATGTTATTTCATCATACTCAGGAACATACTCCTGAAACATGATTAAACAAGAGTGAATAAGTGTCTAAATTATGCCAAAAATTGGAACAAATTATAGTGTTTTCTTAAGAGTATTAACCTCAAGTTGTCTAAATAATTGTTTTGCTGTCGGGGCGGATACGAGAATGCGACGTGCTGTCGGTGAGATGAAGCCTTCATCAACGGCTTTATCGACGAAAGACAATAAGGAATTGTAGAAGCCATCAACATTCAAAAGACCAACCTGGAATAAGAAATAGGAACAAACAACTTTTAAGTTACGGGGTAAAGAATATAACAATATTCAAGTCCAAAGATTTTGCGATAGTTGATTCAGACAAAAACAAAACAAGAACCTTTTTTTTGACCAATATTAATTTAACTTAATAACCCTCCAACCCAAACGGAGATTCTCTTAATCAAATCTTCCAAATCACTTAACAGTATGATTATTGGATTATCATATCTTCGACTATCTTTCCATGTGAATCCGGTTGATATTGCACATGCATTGATTCTTATTTTTCTATTTATACTTCACAATCAGGAAGATTCATTATCTGAAACTGGTCAACTAAAGCCTTGTTTGATTGAATGGAACACCAGAAATTAATTCAAATAAATTCCGAGTCAACTCGTAAGGAAACAAGAAAGAAAAAAGGCAATGTTGCGTACAGGTTTATCGTGGATTCCGAGCTGCGCCCATGTTATGACTTCGAGCAATTCTTCGAGGGTGCCATACCCGCCTGTTAATTAAAAATTGGTTTTACAATTATCATATTAATACAAATCGAAATGGGACAGAAAGAAAATTGTCGAACAAAAGGATCGTGTTTATACCGGGTAGGGCGATGAATGCATCGGCTTGTCGGGCCATCTCGGCTTTTCTCTGGTGCATGTCAGAGACGGCTCTAACTTCTCCAACAGTTTCCCCAGTTATCTATAATAATGGAAAGCCATGTAAGTTTTTCATCAATATTTAAGAAATTTTATAATTAACTTGACATAAAAAAAATGCATTCCAGGTAAAATTTGTAAAACATTTTACACTTTTTTCAGAACATTGATTAATTAAACAAGCACATGCTCACAAATAACTAAATACTGACATGGTCGACTTACTATGCTAAGAATCAGAATGGATTAAAAATGGAATAAAAGAAGTAATTTACATAAAAATAATGATATAGTTTCAATTCTTTCGTACAAACAAGCACAATAAAGGACAAGTTTACACACACAAAAATCTAAATCAGAAGAGATTGGTTTCAAAGATTCTAAAAATTTTACCTCTCTAGGCATCAGAGTTCTGGGAATAACTCTGCAAAACAAAACAACATGAAAATAAATAATTAGCACCATTATTTGATCAGGTTTTGAATTAAATGGGACATAATCAACAGAAGAACTCAATGATTTAGGTCCCAAGGGGCAAAATGTCACTTTATAAAACAGGATTTTGTGTTGCTTTTCGGGACTAAAAGGAAAAAGGAGGCGCTCAAAAAAAGTTCACAAACTTTATATCAAACTTAGCTTTTTCAATGTCTTATCCTTATAACAGGAAAATCCCAGTGAGGACTGACAATTTCAAGGACTTAAAGTAAAAACTTTACAAACTGAACAAAACTCTACACAAATTAAGAAGACTCAATCTTTTTTTTTTTTTTTTCCTTAAAGAGGCATTATTTCTAAGAACCCACTTAATAGAAAATAGAAGAAACTTGCATGGAAAACTTCAAATAAAAATGTTTTGAGTAATAATGTAGAGAAACAAACCCTAGAACATGGCGCCCACCATCATGAACAGCTTGAGAAACAAGACCCATCAAGCCCACGCTCCCTCCTCCATATACCAGATCAATCTTTCTCTCCACCTTCATTGAAAACCAAACCATCAACACAGGTTTCACAAATCCCAATTATAATAAACCATTTATTTAACATTTTTTACATTGAACCCATAAATAAAAATCATGAAGGTTTGGTGATGGATGTTTATGGAAGCGAGCAATGCAAGAACACGCTCAAAAGAGTCATGATATCTAGATAGCACGTTTGCTTCTACTCCAGAGAAAAGCAAGAAAGAGAGAGAGAAAGAAATGTTTTTCATATTATTTTTGGTTTTTGTTTTCTTTGTTTTTAAAATAAAATCACAAACTAAAGATCATGCAAAAAGGCTGCTCAACTGACAGCCAGGTTACAGCTAGCTTCATTCATTTCTTCATTCATTCATTCTTGCCAAACATAAACCCTAAACCTTCTCTTCTTTAGCTACCATTTTGTCCATTAACAATCATAACCCCACGCTCAGAAAACCTTTAATTCTTTCATTTTAATAAACACAACCAAAAACCAAACCAACCCACTTGAGAATAACAACATTCAATGCACTTAATCAATTCATTTCACGTCATGAACAGAAAATTCTTCCTCAACTATGAGCAAGATACATTGAACAAGATTTCCAGGGAAATGCATGAAAGAAACTAAGTAAATGGGATTCAAATCGAAGCTTTAACAAATGAAAAAATTTCATGAAAACGTTTTGTAAAAATAATAGGAACAAATTAAGACTTGCTGAGTTATTACCAGTTCTTTGCCCAAGGAAACAGCGGCTTCTTGGTAGCTAGTTTTGTTTCCAGAACTGCTGCCACAGAAAACACAGATTCTTCGGAATCTAGACTTTGTCACTTCCATATCTCTCTTTTGGCTTTGCTTTTGCATCTTTTGGCTTTGTTTTTGCATCTCTTTCTCGGAAAAAAAAAAAAATGATCTCCTCGAAGAAGGGAAGAGGGTTGAGAATGAGAACAAAGTGAGCCTTTGTTTTTATAATAATAACAATTATTATTATATCTTTATATTCACTACTTCTCTCTCAAACTCAACAGCCCCTTTGCCAAGCTATCGGTATTGACTATTGATAGAGAATGAAAATAATTTTTATTTTTTTTATTAAAATAAATAAATGCCGCTAGAATTTTAATAAAGTTGGAGTTCTGCTTCGTATGATCCAGCTACAGCCAATAGGTTTGAGCTGCGTGGCAAAATGGCGACTCTTGTGGGTTAGGAATTTTATTGGTTTAACAACCCACGTGAATGTCGGGGAGTTAATATTTATAAATTTTACTCTTCTCTAAGTTAAAATAAAAAAAATTAATAATTTAGAAATTTATCGATTGATAAAGGTGAGGTTTTAGTTAGGGTTTAGGCTAATTATTATTAGCGGACATATTTTTTCTGATGATTTTTGAGAAAATTAATAAGGTATAGTTGTATCTTGTTAAATTTTAATGGTGACAATGATATTTTATTTTATATAAATTAAATGAATAATCTATTTCAGGGAGCAAATCTTGATTAGTTTGTTAATTAACTGTTGGACTTAGTTTAATTAATCGCTTTCACTTCATCCCTTTAATCCTTTCAATTATTTTAATCTTTGTTTGTGACACTCAATCTTTTTTGTTATAGTGGAGTTTAACAGTTTAATTAAGAGTAAACGACATGTTTCAACCCATGGTTTAGTGAAATCTTAGGTTGTTATCTTTGATTTCATAAATTCCAGATTTTCACCCTTAAATGGACATTGTTTCCTTTATTTTAACAGTTAAAGGCTAAAATGGTATTTTTCTCCTTCTTCTCTCTTCCCTTCTCATTTCTTCTTCATCTTTGCCTCCTCCCATCTTCTTCTTTTTCCCTTCACATCTCAAAACTCCATCTCAAAATGGTTGCGTTTCAGGCCCACCCGCTTGATTCCAACGGCGTCTTGACGCCCCGCCACCACCATCCAATCTCCCAACCCCACCCTACCAAAACCCCTTGATCCGCCACCCTGCAGATCGCGCAAAGGACACCTTGGGCGTATTCTGAAATCAGTCCAGCCATCGTCCTTTTTGCCACTTTTCCAACTTTTTTTTCATCCAAAACCACCACCATTTGCCTCTTTAAACCTCCCACAACAAAACTCCAGCCTTTTCTCAACTGAAACCACCATTCCAACTTGGAAAATGCCAACAACAGCTGGGTTTTTCTATGCATTGTGTGATTGTCTCCAGTCGAATTCTGGTTGATTTTGGCGGCCTCAACCCCAAACGACACCACCCTTGCACTCACAAGCATCTCTCCTTCAAAATCCCCAACCTTCCCGACCATGATTGCTCGCCGTTTGTCGCCGCCACTCAACTTTGGGTTTTGTGAAATTAGTTGAAATGGGAGTTTGATTGGGTTGTGGAATTGATTTTTGATTTAGTTTTTTGTTTGATGTTTTATTTTGACTGTTGTGTGTTGTGGTGAATGTATTGGGAAAGAAGAAGGGCCGAATATGGTGGTGGTTTGGCTGGCTGGTGTTGGGAAAGAAGAATGGCCGGCTGTAGTGGTGGTGGTTTGGCCGGCTGGTGTTGGGAAAGAAGAAGGGTCGGTTGTGGTGGTGGTTTGGCTAGCTGGTGTTGGGAAAAAATATGGGCCGGTTGTGGTGGTAGTTTGGCCGGCTGTGGTGGGTTTGGAATGGGTTCTGAAGAACAGAAGGGGAGATGAAGAAGGAGAAGGTCCAAGGGTAATTTGGTAAAAGAACCATTTTTCTCTATGCCGTCACTAACGACGTCTGTTTAAGGGTGGGAATCTGAAATTTATGAAATCAGGGGTACCGACCTGTGATTTCACTTAATCTTGGGTGGGTACATGCCGTTTACTCTTTAATTAATAAATAGTATCAACTCGACAAAAGGTTGGTAATGTTGAAATTACAACACTAATGGCTTTGTTAATTTCTAATTATCCGATTCATATCCAAATCAATAAGAACATTATGTAAATTTAATTACTAATTAGTAATTCTTCCTTGCTATTATAAGCATTAGCTTCTCGTTATTTATTTATTTATTTTTTACAAATCTTTGACATTTCATTTGAGATATTTTGTAGTAACTCTTTCTAGCTAGTATACTTGGGAAATATATAATATGATGTAAACACATATGCATATCAGTAAAAATAATGGGTCCGAAAATTTTCTTTATTTTATATATTAAATTCTTTACATAATGAAAGTAACATATACATTAATTTNTTAGGCTAATTATTATTAGCGGACATATTTTTTCTGATGATTTTTGAGAAAATTAATAAGGTATAGTTGTATCTTGTTAAGTTTTAATGGTGACAATGATATTTTATTTTATATAAATTAAATGAATAATCTATTTCAGGGAGCAAATCTTGATTAGTTTGTTAATTAACTGTTGGACTTAGTTTAATTAATCTCTTTCACTTCATCCCTTTAATCCTTTCAATTATTTTAATCTTTCTTTGTGACACTAAATCTTTTTTGTTATAGTGGAGTTTAACAATTTAATTAATAAATAATATCAACTCGACAAAAGGTTGGTAATGTTGAAATTACAACACTAATGGATTTGTTAATTTCTAATTATCCGATTCATATCCAAATCAATAAGAACATTATGTAAATTTAATTACTAATTAGTAATTCTTCCTTGCTATTATAAGCATTAGCTTCTCAGTTATTTATTTATTTATTTTTTTTTGCAAATCTTTAACATTTCATTTGAGATATTTCATATCGTATGTTTTACCATTAATTTCATGAATCTTCATTAATTCTCTTATATTAATAAATAATAACACAATTAAGTAACATAGGAGAGTCTCCCTCAAACTTCATATGCATATAAATAAAAAACAATTTTACCAAACAAGAGGGGAGCACCGAACATAATGTAAGCCACATCCAAGAAGTTGCCCACTGTAATTTATTATTTTTTTGTTTTTTATTTTAAGAAAATGGTAATAATTGTAGAACCACATCACTTAATGGGGACACAATTTTATTAAATATACACCATATAAAATATATTGTGTCTGTCTTCTCTATAATTGAACATGTAGTTCACGTGTAGACCCTCAGTTTTTTGGGTGTGAAACCTAAGTCTTGTATTATAAATATATTGTGAGAACCATGTTTTAATTTTTTTTCTTGTAAAATATTGAGATTGAATATAAATGTTCTTAATGATTTATTATAAAATGGGTTTTGTGGACTGGTAAATTACAAATCATAGGACGTTAAGTCTTAACATGATAACATATGAAATCATATAGCTAGCTTAAATAAATTGTTAGTAATTTTTATTTCTCAAAAGAAATACTATTTTGAGAGATTCTAGGAAACGATTTTTTTTTTTTAATATTTTTGGGTTTATAATGATTTTCTCTTTACTAATAGATTTCAGAATTTTAGTAAAATCATAAAAGAAAATCAAAATTAATTGGGGCTAATGATATAATAATTGTACAAGTAAATTATTTAAATTTGCATTCTAATTTTTCTTCCTATAATAAATAATTACATAACATTTAAAATTTTAAGAACATAGAAAAAAATTGAAAGTATCACACCCTTAACTAATTTGATTTTTTATTTGATAGAGAATAGGAAGCTCTAGCCTAAATTAATTTATAAATGTAACTCTAATATCATATCAATTTGCATTACATTTTATATAAAAATTTTGTGTGACCTTACTCCTATAATTGTAGTACTATTTTGTAAATATAGTTATATTTACATTAAAAATAATATAAATTATTTGATGTGAGATTAAATATATAAACTAGGATTTTTTTACCTTAAATTATGACTGAAATAATTGGTTTAAAAATTCAGCACTCATTTATGTTAATTGAAAGTTTTAATAAAAAAGATCCTACCATGAATATTTTAATTTAACCATCCGTAACTAGTGTTAAATAAATCTATATAAAATAGAAGAATAATAAAATCTAAAAGCAAAGCTTAGAAAACAAATTAAATGTTGGGGATGAATTGATCTGATTATTCTGATTTGAAACGACGTCGTTAACAGAAATGAAATCAAAGTAATCATTTCATATTTTTTATTTGTTCTAAAATCTTAAAGGATAGTTTAAAAAAAATATATATATATTAAAACCTCTACACTTAACACCCACATAAAAAAAATCCCAAAATTGAATATATTTTCTGGAATTATAAAAAAAATCATATGATTAATTTGTTAAACCATAAAATTCTAAATGTTAACTTAATAATTTTCTTCACAATGTTGCTGACATTTTCTCAAAGCAAAGCATGTGACAAGACAATGTGCACAGCCAAAGGCTAGTCCAATCACTTGTACATAATTCTAATTTGCCGACAATGTTCCACCGTAGATCTTTTTCACACAATTCCAGACGTGGAGGTTGACAGACCGTCGATTAAAACCTACAAACAACACCCTGTCATTTCGCAATTAAGATAAACGGCGGAAAAGCGAAGGGCATTGGGACCTGAACCGATAAGATGAAAGTGACGTAGTGACAGACAGGTGAGCCACCGAGGACACACGTGCGACATGCCGCCGGCAAAAAGAAACCAACTGAGAAGAAGAACAAGACGAACACGGCAATAACTGATGAGTCAGTGAGTGCGTTTGGTCTTGTTTCGGTCAAATTACTATTGTTGTGTCAGTGCCACTGTAACTGTCGTTTCGCTCACATTTACGTGTCGGTTTTCTCGAGATTTGCGGTGTGTCCGAAAAATCATCTCCTCCAACTGTTGACGGTTAAGTTTATCTCCGTGATTCAATTATACTTATAATGGCAGTTCGTAATTAATCATTTACAATATATTTTGACTGTTTAATTGTAAAAACCAATGTTTTAAAATTCGATCCGATCACTCTATT